CCACTACCACTACAGCTACTACCACTACTAAATTTAAATACTACCACTATCACAAGCACTGCTAAATTTAACTTAAATTACGGTAAATGAACATTGATTTTAGCCGGTTACAAGGTTTTTGGAACTAAGTACTGCATATTGGACGATGTGTCTCATTGTTTTTACCGGCTTTAGGGTGTGTGAAATCAGTTATCACGGATCACGGCAAACTGGATATCCTGTGCAATAACGCTGGGATAGTTGATGAAAAGAACTGGGAAAGAACGATTGCGATCAATTTGGTACGTACAATATCTCTACTATGCTTGCCTAACGATAAATTGATGACTAAATCTTGCCACCATCGGTTTCCTTATTGATATTAGATTTAGATTCGCGTTTACGCCAAATGACAAACATCAATTAGCTTTAAAGCTTTGTTTTAAACACAGTCAAACACACGTAAAAACTCTTCGAAATGAAAAGTGATTAAAGATCCTCGAGTCCGAGAGAAAATCATCGAAAGATAAAAATGAATAATTTAAATGCGGCTACAAAATTTTCTGCGGGAAGAAAGCCCTCACTGAGAGGCGAATAAAGTTGTAAGAAATGGATTACTGCGGAACTCACGAAAGAAGATCTTCGTGTACGCTAAGTGTAGAAATAAAGTATAGACGGCTGTCAATCAACATTACACAAGTTCTTAAATAAATAAAATAAAATAAATCGACTTTATTTTACGAGGGTAACACGTGACAGTAAAGAACTGATGAACTTGTGGCCCTCACACTCACACTCACTACCTCTACATTAATTATTTTAGCACACAACACTCCTCACATGTTTTAACAAATAGGAAGAGTAGCAAACACATCTTTTCCAAGAACAATTTCTTTTTTCTTTTCTTTTTTTTCTTTTGCTGTATTTCTCTAGTTTCGTTCAATTCAAACGACTTTTGACCGTTCAAACAAACTCATCTTCAAGGCGTATCTCAAACAGTACGCTCGGTCTTAAAATGCTTCGATATTATTTTTATTTAATTTTTTTAATGTCATAGTTTACCCGGGAGCCTTTGATTTCCGCACTATCGTGGTAGCCCGATTCCGACAACTTTGGCCGATAAAGGAGCGACTTGTTAAAATTTYTGTTATTTTGGGGATGGCGCACAACCAAAACTTAACGGTTAGGTTATGTTACTCTGTGAGCGAAAACTTACACAATTACCTCGATTGCTGTGGAGCCGACCTAACGGCCCTTTCCGCTACTGAGGTCTCACTTTCCAAGACGTTATAGCAAGGTATTCGGGAATTGAGAGAGAGAACCTTCTATCGAAAAGCATTTATCGAAGCTATCTTTTATTTAATATTAGTTATGATAGCTTGCTATGTGAATCGTTCAAGTCTTCCCTGAGGTCGTCAATTATGTGTTTTTTAGCTGTCGACCTTTCATTATGAGTCAATCGAGCCACACCTTGTTTCTTCTAATGGCCAGAATGTGTGAAGTGGGCTGACACGGTTGACTGTGCAAAGAAAACAACCCGCTTCACTAGGATCCTAATACGACATAACTTGTTTTAATACACGAACTAGAACGTCAATCAGCATACTATTTGCTCTTGATGCTAGTTGATGCTGATGTGGATCGAGTCAATATAGTTTTTGTTTTTCAGAATGCTGTTATTCAAGGAACTTTCCTGGGTATGGAGGTCATGAACTCCGGTGTTATCGTTAACACTGGTTCTATGGGAGGTAAGAAGCGTTTTCCCAGCGATTTTCCCAGTCGTAGGATTTTGAGCCCCGGTTCCACTACAAGTCACAGGTTGCGTACGACTATTGTAGACAAGTCATAGGTTGCGTACGACTATTGTAGACAAGTCGTAGGTTGCGTACGACTATTGTAGACAAGTCATAGGTTGCGTACGACTATTGTAGACAAGTCGTAGGGTGCGTACGACTATTGTAGACAAGTCATAGGTTGCGTACGACTATTGTAGACAAGTCGTAGGTTGCGTACGACTATTGTAGACAAGTTGTAGGGTGCGTACGACTATTGTAGACAAGTCGTAGGGTGCGTACGACTATTGTAGACAAGTCGTAGGGTGCGTACGACTATTGTAGACAAGTCGTAGGAGCATTTACACTGCGCGATTGGGAGATCATTTGAGTCGTGTACCACACACGACAATCCTACCGTACAAATTTAGTTAGAAATTTCGTATGATTCTGTTTTCGCACAGCACTATAGAATACCAGAGTTAACGCCATTTGTAGGCAAAGTTTTGTAGTGAGCAGGATCGTGGTTTTGAAAATATAGCGTGCTTACTTAGTACTATAAATTATTTGTTATAGGCTTGGCTCCAATGAGCCTCACACCGACCTACTGCGCCTCGAAACATGGTGTTGTTGGTTTTACTAGGAGTATTGCACCTGTAAGTACACATTAAAAGCTACTAGATGTAATAGCCTGGGCTGCCTGTGGTATATCTGTACTAGATGTAATAGCCTGGGCTGCCTGTGGTATATCTGTACTAGATGTAATAGCCTGGGCTGCCTGTGGTATATCTGTTATTTTGTTTTTACCTCAGGTTGCCATGAAAACAAAGTCTATTAGAGTAAACGCCATTTGTCCAGCTTTTGTTGAAACGCCTTTGCTTGAGAAACAGAAAGTCGATTTTCCCATGGCAGCTGGTCTTGTCAATCATCTTGGAACAGTAACGTGAGTATATAAATAATATGGACTTTTGTCAGTACAGGGSCTCTCATTCTACCATGGTATAGGCAATGTGCATGCACCAAAATCATGCTTTCAAACCACATAAGGGACGACTAGGATTCCCTGTGATTTATTCCTGGGAAGTAATCTAATGTAGAGATTGGGCTGCCTGTTCTGCAATCATCCAAGTCTGCATGTTATCTCTATTCTTTTAAAATGTTCATATAAGGAAGATTTTGTTCCTTACTTTGCGCTGGGAATGTAGACTTTAAAAGTGATGGCGGCTAATGTGCATTCTGTTTTTCTTAGGTCTGATTTCGTCGCCAAAGGATTGATTGATATCATTACAGATGACAAAAGAATTGGCGATATAATGTCAATMACTGCTCCTGACAAGATGACCTACCATCAATCTGCAATATCTGGCTTTTAATGTCTTCATTTCAGAATAAATGCAGTTATGACGTGTTAACTTCATCTTATTATTACATTCGGCGGTTTATGCATAATAAAAGTACTGTTTAAAGGTCTGACAATGAGGACTGTACTGGATTTTAAGTCCGCGCAGTTACTWTAGCCGATTTGTATTATGGCGTCATACTACAACTACCAGAATGCTTTGCCAACTTTCTTTTGTAATGCAATTAGTGCCAATTGTTTTCTTAATCTCCAAGGGRATTAAAAATCTGAATAACAATGAAATTGCGCAAGGCTCTCTAGTAGTTGTAGTAAAGTTACGTCATAATGTAAATGCCTATTATATATACCGACTTGCGAATTTTGACTTTTGACAGTATTGTACACGTGGGAATCGAGACGGGGCAACGTGCATAATTCTCATTCCTTTATTTGTCAAAAGACAGTAGTTTTTCACGTGTTACTCATCATTGCACGGGGTCTTCTCTTAATTCTTTTGTGTTTGACTAAGTTGGAAGAAAGTGGGGAAACAGAAGGTTCCGTTATCTCTCTTCTGCACTCTTTCTCTGTGCCGCAAAAGCGGGCTAGAATCATAGATACATAGATTGAGAGATGAAAGGTACAACTAAAGCTGGCCTGGTCTACGCGGCTAGTCGACTAATAGGGCGTGTTTCTGTACACGYTCTATATGTCATTGCTCAGATAWGCTGGGAGGGTGTGATGGAAAACCATCTCRCAATACTAAAAGTCATGTAGAGTAGAAATTAACCAGTCAATTAGATATTCAAAAATGCCCTTGCCAGAAAAAAGTTCCCTATAAAGTTAAAAGGTGGAAATTTTTTTTACGTGCTCCGTAGCCTATGGACTTCGTAATGCCTTATGTACTGGAGCATGGAGCAAGCGCACTGACATCCGGTGAAAACGTGAGAACTTCGTGACACAGGCTGTGATCGAATAAACTGTGCAGCATGAACAGCACAATAGGATGTGCGCAAACTTGTTTTCATTCTTTTAATAATATCTTAATGATATCCCGCCATCGACGCCATTAGTAAGYTTGGTAAAAAGACTTGATTCATCTACTGACGTTTCTCATATATAAACCCGAATATATAGCTATTTCAAAAAAGGTTGTCGGATAAAATGGCGAATGTCAGTGGTCGAACGTCGATTGCACGACCGMAAGTAGTCATGGGTTTTGGTAGTTGAAATGCAATAAGTTCTGATTTATGCTGTAAGATGGTCTGTGGTAAACATTGGATCCATTTAGTCTCCATTTCTCTGCAAGGTGAATCCAAAAATAAGTGAAATTTTGTTTGTCAAAACAGTGTAACCATAGTCCCTTTCGGGCGTGCAATCTCCCTTCGACAATCGCCGTTCGCCGTTCTCCCCGACAACGTTTATTGTAATAGCTGTATATAAGATCTTTTTTGACAAAAAATAATTATATAATGATAATAATATACAATGTATTGACCACTCTTTAATGGGATCAGGCACTTCCTCATACGATAATATATAATTATATATATATATATTTTTTTTTTTCAATCCTAAAAGGAAATATGACGGGACAAATTGAGCCCCCTCACTTTTTTTAACCCTGCTACGGGCCTGAAGATCTAATAGAACATCAGCCTGACATAAAATACAAGCGAATTTAAATAGAGATAGATAGATAGATAGATAAATTTATTTAACACTACTTTGCAGATGTGCATTTCGTAGTTATTTACAATATTGCCGATTTAGATTCAGTGAATATCTGACAGTCATAACTCTCAGCTGTAGTAGTGCTATTCTTGTACTGAGTACTGTACTGATTTTTCTACTGTAATTCCATAAGAACTTTAAGAACATTTTAATAAATATTTGAGGCTGAATTGATTCTAAGCAATAACTATTCAATAAGATTCCAATCAGCATGGTCTTCGAAATCTGACCTGTTAGCACAGGAAGCCCAAAATGTCTTCTTCAATAAAGCACGTGACCAGCCCAAGTTTGTTGCAACTTTCAAGATGGCGGGTATGTAACTGAGTTTTGTCTTTGATTATATGGTATTCTTTGCCTTGTTAAAACCCTTTTCTCCCTGTAGATATACAGTTTTTAGTAGAAAATGTTGATGATACGGAAGAAGATCCTGATGATGGTAAATGCTCGTCCCATTTGATATTKTTGAGCTTTGATATATTTGTCATAAAGTTTCACTAGTGGGAGGATGGGATTCGCCCTCGTCTTYAAAACGAATTTTTCTTTTTCCTTTTAGAAGGTTGCGATTTAGAACAAGATGATCCTTCTGTACTTGATGAAATAAACCCAGAAGAATTACTCAGTCCTATTGTAAGAATGGAGAAATACATGCATAGTGATGTGATATTTAACAGGTAAGTTAATAATAGTTCAGTTTA